TGTGACACTCAGTGACAGTGGACCAAAACTTTTACTCAAGTAAGAATACAGTTCTGTCCAAACACTAATCCTCATGTGTGGGTGAAGAGTTGGATGTGTCCTGACATTTCTTCTAAAATCAACTCAACTCAATGTAAGAAATGTAACTCACGGCTATTACCGATAACATTATGATTTATAGAGTTATAAAAATGCAACAATTACATTTTTTATTTTTAGAAACTTCCATTTTGCAGTATATTTTTACATTGTTTCCATGCAACTATCTCTGACCTTTTCCAAAACAAGAAAATCTCTAAACTGTCTCCATCTGTTACTGAAGCTTCTAATTCAGCTCCTTTAAAAGACTCTTGAAGAAATGTTTTCTAATGGAGGCTTCAGTGTTTTTAGAGACATAATGGTTATTTCTACACGTCAAATGTATTTCAAATGTTTAGTGGAAACTGATTGTATTAGTATTTTTGAATAAGACAACAGGATAAGCAGCTCACAATTTGGTGAGCGCTAATGGGAATCCAAATAAATAAAGAAAATAAACAAATATAGGATATAAAGAAGTCAATAGGTAAGTTTAAAAATAATTCATGTGTGATTATATTCATGTATTTTCAGCATGAATAAAGACATAACTCGAGTAATGTGTTAAAGTTTTCCAAATGGTCAAAATAAGTCTTGTGTTCAAATCTTGTAGGTCCATTGTGTAGTTGACATTGCACAGATGTTTGTGGAGTATCATGTTCAAAGTAAAGTGTCAAGTGTCTTACCTGTGACAGAGAGCCTGGTGCCTGCTCCGAATACCACAGTGCTTCAGTGTGTGCACACGCTGCTACAAAAACCTCCCCACTGTCTCTGATGAGGACAGAGACACTCACACTTCCTGTGGACACTCAGCGCATGTCCACCGCCTTCATCAGTGTCCCTCTAGTCCAGACCAAGAGCTGAGGTGGACACCAGGAGGACACTGGGGACCATGATGGAGCTGTGAGGAGAGGACAGGGGCCAAGAGACTGACGCTCTGAGCCTCAGAGAAGCAGCAGAAGAGGAACTGAGGTTTTTGTCACACTCTATATCACTGTGATACGTACTCCTTAACAGAGTCGTCCCATGTGTTACAGTAATAAACTGCAGAATCTGATTGTTCCAAACTGTTGATGGTCAAACGATAATCTCTTTTAGACTGATGAGTACTTGTGAATTTAGAGGAGGACACACCAGAGCCATAGGTTGGAGCTCTGTGTGAATGGTAAAAATACAAGAGAAACTGTGGAACTTGTCCTGGAGACTGTTTGTACCACCAAGCCCATTCATTCTCCACATATCCCAGGTTACAGTCCATGGAGACGCTCTGTCCTCTCTCCACACTCACATCAGGAGGGTTCTGGGTCACCTGCGTCACAGCACTCACACCTGGAAACAAGAAGAAGAGCAGAAGTGAGGAGAGAGGCGGAGTGAGCAGAGAGCAGCAAAGAGCAGCCTCCTTACATTACACAACATTCATCAAATAAAAAAAACAAAAAACACTAAGATTAAGAATAAAGCAGCAGTGGCAATCTGTTACACAGGGAACAATAAATTCAGTTCAGGTAGGCCATTAGTGACCACCACCCCAGGTATACAACAAAAAAGGGTC